CACTCAGTTCCACACTTTCCTCTCTCTCTAAAAGTTCCTTAGTACATTCTCTGTATTTGCTTACGTATTGCTACATGTTGTTAGGCTATCCCACCCCCAAACAAACAAGCAAACAAACAAACAGAGCTAATTCCATCCATGTTGGTGTTCGGGCATGGAAAGGTGATTTTGAAGTTCTCTGCTTGACTGGTGAGCAAACTGAGGCAGCCAGTAATAGCTAGCTTGCCATGAGAGCCTGGCAAACCTGGGTGCAATTCCAGAACCCACCTTGGAAGAAGAAAACTCTCAAAATCCTTTGATTTCCACATGTGTGCCATTGCAAGCTCAAGTCTGCATGTATGCAGACACCATGTTCACAAACACATACAGAATAATAAATAAATGATAAATGTAAGTAAATTTAAATTGGAATTCTCTGTGTGAGATAACCATTCCTCTTTTTTGGCATCTATTTCTCTGCTCATTTATCTCACTAGTGCTTGGGAAAGGTTGGCTGGTTTTGATACACTGGCACACGAAGAGCTACACCTACATCTTAATTTTGATCAAGTGTTTTCTACCTTCTTGAAACAGAAAAGTGGCTGTTAATTTTCAAGCGAAAATGTTTTCATTTTCCAGTGTATTTTAATCATTCTGAGTGTGGGTGGAGGCAAACAGGACAGTAACTTCATCAGCTCACGTGGTCTTTAACTAGCAGTAGAAGCAGAAGGATCATTAATATTGATAGTGACAGACAAGGAGCCGTCCAGAAGTCCTTCACAGAGAACCAAGGTGGCCTGGGCGAGGGAAAGGTCTCACTGAAACCTCTGCCTTGTAAGCTCTGTATGGTTTTGAAGGCTCATGGGAAAGAGAGTTCTGTCATCTTCCTGGCAAACCCTCTGAGGTATTAGAAATGGTGACTAAGGGAAACATGAGTGTATTGATTTTTTTCACTTAAAGTCTCCATTGCTGCAGGTAAAACCCAATTCCATCTGCCTTTTTTGCAGTGTAGGAGGAAACAAAAGTTTAAAGAGGTTAAATTGCTTGCCCATGATCACCCCGCAATAGGTAGATGTAAGATGTATCTATGGCCTAATTCTATGTCATCCCTCCTCTTTTGTCTGCCTTGCCTAGTTAATGAAATTGTTCAGTAAACAAGGGAATCGGGCTTCTCAGCCAGCTTGGATTAAAGGTAATGCACAGTCTTGGCCACAAACTCTTAAGTCTCCTGCTACTGATGCGAAGCTGGGTCGGCAAGGCAGTTTAGAATCACTGCAGATGGAAACAGGAGACTGTCACCTCTCATAGCCTGTGACGGTCTTGGGCTGAACATCCAGGTCTTTGGGAGAGTTTTACACTTCATAGTACCCTACCCAACTCTGACCCTTCAAATGTAGAAAAGGCTACTCTGGGCCCAAGTCTAGAAACTCAGCTTGTAAAACGATGGAAGGAGTCCCACCTCGGATTTCCAGTGAGTATCATTGTGATTCTACCCACAGATAGGGTGGCTGGGACAGTCTGATGGAAAGGAAGCACTCCCAGCAAAGGGAACCACACAGTGAAGAGATAGTCTATAGGATGGCAGAAAAATCTTTGACAGCTATTCGTGGGACTGGAGATTACTATCTATAATATATAAAGAATTTACAACAATTGAATGCAAAACAACAAGTGATATAACAAGAGCTAATGAAGTGAAAGCACACTGCTCAAAAGAATTATAAACAGCCAGTGAGTACATAAAAATATTTATTAAGTATATTTATTTGGGGTGTGTGCACCCACTTTTAGAATAAAAAGGACCACTTTTGGAGTAGCTTGCTTGAATTGGTTCTCTCCTATCACCGCATGGAATCAAAGATTGGGCTCGCATGCTCAGGGCTGGCAGCAGATGCTTTTCCCCTTTGAGCCATCCTAGCAGCCCAGTGCTCAGTGTCTCTAGCCATTACAGAAATGCAAGCCAACGCCTCCTTGAGATTTCACCTCATTGCTTTCATACTGGCTACCACAAAGAAACAAGAGACGCAGTGGTATGAAGAACCCTTGTACACCAATGATGAGAACCAAGTTAGTACAGCCACCATGAAAATCAGTATGAAAGGTCCTAAAAAATGGAATTGACCCAGCTATGCCACTTTTGGGTATCTGTTTGAAGGAATTAAATTGAGAATACAATACTTTCAAACTCATGAGCACTATTCACAACAGCTGAGTTACAGAACCAGCCCTAGTGCCCGTCAACAGAGGAATGGCTGAAGAAAATATGGAATCCATAAAAAGGGAGTGTTTATTTATCCATACAGAAAAATGAATTCATGCGGTTTGCAAGAAAGCGGGTGGAACTGAAGATCACCATCTTAAATGAAAGGGGTCGAACTCAGATAAACAGGAATTCTATGTTCTCTCGTACGGGGGATCTAGAGGAGGGGAAAACCCACAAAAGTAGGACTCTTAGGGGACATGAAGATGATCAGAGAGAAGTGAGAGGAATGAGGGGCGAGCATAATTAAAATATGTTGTATGCTTGTATGAAAAAGTCCTAGTGAAGCATACATAAATTTCATATATTAAATTTTAAAAAGAAAGGCCTTTATTAACTTAGGTTTGAATATTATTTTGCTCGATCACTTTCTGTCTGTCTCTGTCTCTCTGTCTGGTGTGTGTGTGTGTGTGTGTGTGTGTGTGTGTGTGTGTGTGTGTGTGTTTTGAGGTAGGGTCTCTAGTAGCTCAAGCTAGCTTCAAACTTTTCATATAGCCCAGTAAGACCTTGAGCTTCTGATCACCCCACCTCCACCTCCTATGTGCCACCACACCTGGCTGCGAATACGCCTTCCAATTGTTATTGTTATTGTTGGTTAATGGCATCGTGGAACAAAGTGTTTAAACAGAACCATACCAATTACGGTGATTAGAGGCTCTGCAGTCATGTTCTGGACCGGCTAGTGACTCAGCCGGATGAGAGAAAAGGATGGTGGCTTCCGTAGATGCTGTTAAAACACTTCCACACTTTCACAGACACCTAGGCACCCTGAGAATTTCATGCATTCTCTTTAGCTTTTCCCAAATCTCTACCCGCTATTTTTTTGACATGTTAATATTTTCTACTAAAAACTGCTGTATTTAATCCTTGTTCCAAAGAGTTACTTTGAAGCCCTCTCATAGACAGCCTATGGTTCTGACATTTCTTCTGAACAGTGGCTTACTGATTACTCATAGCCAGTTATTTTCTTTTGTTATTGTGTGCGATTTGAATGTGGGCGTGCACAGGCTTCAGTGCGCTTGCGGAGGTCAGAGGACAGTTTTATGGAGTTGGTTCTCTCCTCCCACCCTTATGTGGTCTCTGGGGATCAAGCTCTGACTTTCAGGTTTGTGCCCTGAGCTGTCTCAGTGGTCCCACGCTCTTCAGAATTTTGCAGTGCTTTTTTTTCCCTCTTTCCTTGTGCTAAATAAATTTTCTATTTATTTAGTCTTCAATCTTGTATTTATGTTTCTTCCATAGCACACTTGACTTTACACTACTGCTTTTAAAGTGCTTAAGGATCTGAATGCTCAAAGGTGCAAATTTGCTTTCTTCTGAAAACATCTAAAAATGTAAATCTTAAAAGCCAGCGTCCAGACTTCACTAGCTTCGAAAGTCATGATTTTAGGAACTGGATGTTTTATTTTTAAATGTACAATAAACAATGCTTGAAGTGTGCTGCATTATCGTGAGCTGCCATCTGACCTTGTCTCCAGTTCATTAATTACCAGCTCCAGTTTTTATAGGCTCATTAGATGCTTGCACATTCCGTCCCTAGAGGACCAAATGGAGATCTGTCGGATGAGTCAGCAGGACACATGCCTGTATCCTCTGCTGCTACACTACCTTGCCACAAGCCCGGTGGAGTTCGGCCTCTTTGGAGCAGACATGCGCATGCCCACATGCTACAGCTTTCCCTTAGAGACTTTCACCTTGAAGACCACATTTCGTGGTCATCTTGATCAGATTCTATCTCAAAAAGAGAGGGATGTAAGCATGCCATGGAAATCCACTAGCCTGGCCATCTCTCCAACTCTCTACCTTACCAATAATCCTACATTTAAGAATATATTACGTCTATAAAAGTATATGTTATACACCTATATGCAGATGCTAGAGCCAGCTGGAGTAGGAAACCCCCACAAGGGATCGGTTAGCAGTGCAACAGCATTTCTCTGGATGCTAGTGAGTGCCCGGCCTCTATCATTCACGTACTCATCTTCCTCTGAGCAACAACTGTCAAGGCAAAAGGCCTTGGACTCATGCATGCTATTATGTGGACTTCCTTGAGAGGTCAAGACCCCATTTAGAAAGACTTCATAGGATTTGATCACAGGACCGTCTGAGTTCACTGCTCGCTCACACATGCTAATTACATACGCCTGCCCAGGGCCAGCTGCCCTCGCGGAGGGCTCTGAGCGTTTGCACAATGAGTCAACAGATTAAAGTCCTGAGGCTGGTGAAAACTCCAGCTTCCGCGGTTGCTGGCAGGATGTCCCCGAAGGCTGACGATCACAAGCATCTTGCTTGGGAAAACCAAAGGTATCAAGAAGGCATCAGATGCTTTCCAAAAGTAACAGGGGCCACGCGTGAACCGCTATTGAACCCCCTAGTAATTTACTTTGAAGAGGGAGGGTGAAATCAGTGTGATTTCTGAAGTTGGCTTATGACACAGCAAACTACCAGGGCACTAGATCAAAGAAACCCGGCTTCATTCTGCAGGTGGAAACAGGGGCTTCCTGCCAAGTACCCAGATGGGTCACAACTGCAGCAAAGGGGTCAAGAGCTGGACTAGGGCCCAGGGTGGCTTTTCTAGGAACTGACTATTACAGCCAGTGACTTCTTAGCACTGGATATAGCAACGGGTGACAAAGCCAAGCTCTGTCCAGTGTGGTCAAACAATCTTTTTGTACACCATGAAGATGTGTTGACCTCATTGGTTTAATAAAGAGCTATTGGCCAATAGCTAGGCAGGAAGAGGTTAGGCAGAAGACCCAGGTTGAGAGAATGCTGGGAAGAAGAAAGGAGGAATTGCCAGCCAGATGGAGAGGGAGCAGCATGGACTTTACAAAGTCAAGGTAATCCATGTAAAAGTAGATTAAAGTATATGGGTTAATTGAAGTTGTAAGAGCTAGTTAGCAACAAGCCTAAGCTATTAGCCAAGGATTTATAATTAATGATAAGGGTTAGGAAATTTTCCTAATGCGAGCTCTCTGCCAATGCAAAAATCCCAATCAAGCCAAATCACAACAAGCCAAATTAAAAATTATCCAGGTTTAATGGGATTCCTGTGCTCTCGGGTAACCCTGAGGGGGAACTGGAAGGCCACAAACGCGACCACCAGGGGAGAGCAAAGAGACCACATGTTTCTCCTTTGGGAACTCACATAAATACCCTGGGATTTGGAGTCCAGACCAAAGCAACTTCCAGGTCAGGGAGGCTGGGACAGATGCTAAGGACTGGGGACTATGCCTCCAACTTAACAATAAGTTTCTTTGTGGTTATTTGGGAGCTACTGGTGGGAAAAATATCCCACCTACAGTCCAGAACATTGTTTTCAATAAGTTAAGACTTATTTATTTCCCATGCTTCCCACCTACCTCACTTCCTCTTCTCTCCACTTGAAGACCCCTCTCCCTACATGTCTCCTTCCACTAGCTGTAAGAAGCAAAGAGAATTTTCTAGATTTCTAAAGGTTCTCCAAGAGTGACTGCTAAGATTCTCCATTTAAAAACATTTTTATTTTTTTATCATTTTTAATTATGTGTAGGTGTGTGTCTGTGTGTGGGCGTGCATGCAAGTGCAATTGCTGCGGAGGCCAAAGGCGTCTGATCCTCCTGAGCTGGAGTTATGAATGATTGTGAGTCACCTGATGTGGGTTCTAGGAACAGAACTCTGGTCCTGTGGAAATGCAACAAATGCGTCTAATCACTGAGCCATCCCTCTAGTCCCTAGGACCCCCACTTTTGTGTCTATAGGACAACGTACATCAAATGATGTATGACGTGGAGGTTTTCCAACTATTGATTCTCAAACTTCCACCTGACTTTATCCTATATGGTGCACAGTCTACTAAGTCATTTCTTGGGCTGCTTTTAACGTAGCATTTCAACTACACTTGTATAGAATTTTTTTTTATCCATTCTCTCTATCTATTCAATACCATTGAATTGGTTATCTGCCTTGGAAATTGAAAAACAGGAGATGGGAGTTGAAAATATTGATTCTTAGGCTTTAAAAATGGACTAGCTTAGCCAAACCCTTGTTCTTCTAGAACCAGGCCAGGAAACAACCACACACTGCTCTCTCAGCTAGCTTCTCCTGTATAATAAGCTGCCTCCAAAGCTTGTGGTGTAGAACGACAGCTATTTTTGTGGCAGGCGACTGTGTGGATCAGCAATTAGGATGAGCCAGCCTCAGCTGTGGGGCTGATGGGTTGGGAGCTGTGGCGCCCTCTGCCTGACTGGCGCGTGTTTACTTTTCATGGCTGGGGTACTGTCCGGCAGATGACTTAGGCTCCTCCACATCATGTCTGCCTAGGGACTCTGGAGAAAGAGTCACTCCAAGGCCAAACCTGAAACTGGCATCGCACCAATCTGCACATTCTATTGAGCAAGGCGCGGGGTTCTTGATGGGAGTCTACCTGAGTCAGATTCCCAAAGACACAGAGACAGGAAGTCAAGTGTTTTTAAAATCTGCCACGCCTCTAATGAAGAGCGCGTCACAACACATGGCTGTCACATATTCCTCACAATGGTACGTCGTCATTTCTTTTAGCATTGCTGCCTCACGCACAGCAGACACTGAAATAACTTTCAATTTAGCCCACTGTCCTAAGCCTGTATAATAAATGAATATCTTCCTTAGACACGATAGTGTTCATGTGGCCGCAGTCTGTGTAGATCTGTATGGTAGACTATAGGTTCTCTGGGTAGACTGAGGTAGACATTACAAAGGACATTCATTAGGCTTCATTTCTGAGGTCAACTCCTGTGGAAGAGACAGAGGAGGGGCTGAGTGGCCCTGCGAGTCCGTGGCCTCAGTGGACCCTGAGGGAGCTCTGAGGTATCCAAAGCCTGTCAGTGCTGTTAGAGATTGGGCAGTGTGACTAAGCCTCCATACTGAACACTTTCTTTAGTGTGCACTGGATGTAGGCCTCCTGTGTGGAGAACAAAACCTCGAGTCCAGAAGTACTCAGATATAGATGGAGGCGTGGACAGCAGTGCCAAGGCCACAGGGCCTTCCTTCAAGAGCCATCAAACGCTAATGGGATTATGGGAAGATTCCGGTTACAAACAACTGACAGTCTGTAGGAAACGCTGCGTGACACGAAGTGCCATTTATTGACTCTGTTGCTTTCCTCCAAGGGAGCTTTGTGAAGGGTCTGACTCATAGCCCAATTCCCTTCAGTTAGATCTGAAAATTAAGAAATGTGCTTACTGAGGAATTAATTCATTTCTCATGCAAATCTGCTTTCATGCTGTTTCTGGCTGTAGCGTTTCCTTCCACAGGAGCATACATTTCTGCCATTCTGGCCAACAGTCCACCTCACTGGTACTGAGATTATTGGAAAATGCCGTCCTGCCTGATTTTGAAAACGTAGCTTACGTAGACTTCCGTTTGAAAAGAGCAAAGATGGCGGAACATGGATCAGTTCTCTGAGAACTGCATTGTAAACACAGATGCAGCTGTTCCTGGGATTGCCCACGAGCAGACGCTGAGAGTGGATCACTTATGTGAGAGGGGAATGTCAGCACCTGAGCTCAGGGCAGGGGCATGAGGCGCCCAGGGGGCACTGGCCTGTGCAGGATCCTCCAGTGGCCCCCAGCAGCAACTGACTGACAGGGCTGTCAAGGCACACAGCGAAAGGGGGAATGATATCTAAACATAAGAAAATTTGACGTCGTTGATGAAATCTCAGCAGGTTCTGTAATAAACTTGACCTTAGTCCACCCCAGAACGAGACTTTGCTAGCTAGAGTTTGGCTTGTTCTTGTTGGCCCTCTGGTCACATAGTCGGCCCCAGTAAGGTGCACTTAGGCTTACGTGTGTGCCTAAGGCTGTTATGAGGAAGGCTCTCTGTCTGTGGCAATTTTATTTGTCAATGCACCCTTTGGTTCGGTCACTTTTTCCTGGTTGTGGGATAAGGAATGGGTGCATTTTGATTAATCATGAGTTTTATTGAGTCGTGATTGTCAGGTAACTGACTTTCAGAGAACGGGAACTCCATGGACTGTATTGATTACCATGGTATTAGAATTAGTTTGCCCTTTCTTTGGTGGTTTAGAAGCTCTCTGAGATCTCCCATGACTTCTTTGCTTTCACATCAAAATTTCAAGACTTGGGCAACTGGGCCCAGCACATGTCTGGGTGTTGTGTGTATATGGTCTAGAGTCTGGACTTAGCTACTGTTTTCTGGGGAAAGAAAATGCCTAGATCTCTTGTAATTTGAGTCTTCTCCTTCCTTGGATTCAAGTCTTGGGGATTGCCCTTTGGGACAGTCTCAGATATATGCCATCCTCGAGACATGCAAAGACTAAGCTGTAGTAGAATTCCACAAGAGGGAGCATCTGCTAATCTCTGACCTTTCACCATGTCTCTGGGCCTATAATAGAAGCCTTGGGCTGGACTGTGGTCTGCCCGCATTTCAGTCTGATTAGTCTGAAGGTTCTCCTGGACTTCTCAAGAGAAATGTCAAATGTTTTTTAACTGAGCAGTTCACGGCTGTATACAAACACGACCCATGTGTTCTAATGTCCTTTGTATCTGAGTGTTTTGTTGGTAACAACTTGTATAATGACTGGATTTCATGTGTTCTGAGTTCCAGGACACCCAGGGCTACACAGAGAAACCCTGTCTCCAAAAAACAAAAAGTGGAAAAAGAAAGGTTGACAAATTTGTTTTCATCTGTAAGCATCAATTCAACAGACTGGACTTGATCACATCACCGTGAGAGAGATGGAGTCAGAACTCTAACCTGGCTTTCCACATGCATTCCTGTTGTCCATCATAGCTTAAGCATAGTCAGGGTATACAGGATTTAACACCTATTCAGAACGACCATTTCCACAGTTACTTGGTGTCAATCCCACAGATAAACAGATCCCCAGATCTTGTGCCTTCACCACTTTTTAATCCATGGGAATTTCTAAATTAGCACATATAGCAGATACTTACAGCTTTGTGATTTTGTTAGGGTGTCCTGGTGAAAAGGATTCCGAGAGCTTGGACTTGGTAAGTATAGGATGTACGCATTTGAAAGTCCCATATATATTGGCATATTGGCCTTTTAAAAAGCTGGATTAATTTATTCACTCACTAACAGCTCATGAGAATATCTTTATTTTTTGTGCCCTCACCAACTCTGGTTATTATTACCATTTTTGCATTTTTTTTGGTTTTTTGTTTTGTTTTTATTTGAAGAGTTGAAAAGCGCACTCTTGGGCTCAGTGAGTAAAGGAACTTGCTGACAAGATGGGTCGCCAAAGATTGATCTCCAGAAGTCACACGGTGGAAGGAGAAAACTGATTCCAGTAGTGTGTCCTTTGACCTCAACATGCACACGTACACACACACACACACACATGCACATACACACACATGCACACACACACACACACATGCACATACACACACACACATGCACAATGCACACACACACACACACACATGCACATACACACACACACACAAAGTAAATAAATAAATAGCGTAAAAAAGAAAAAGAACGAGAATAGCTTTATCCAGAATTCCAATCAGAGATAATGACTAATGATTTTTATGTATTTTGATACTACCCAAGCATGAAGCATACACACATATTTTTAGCATAAAGGGCACATACTATACAAACTTTTTCCATCTTTCTTTTCTCTCCATCAGTGATCATACGATCCTGTGTGAACACACACACACACACACACACACACACACACACATGTTTCCAAAAGGTATGTAATCTGTATGAGTTGCCCTATACAGATGCTCCAGTATTTACTTCGTGTTCTAGGGCAGATTCAAAAGTTAGCCCAATCTTTAACTTGAGGCAATACCATGGCCGGTACCTTATACCTACATCT